GTAGGACGGGTAGATGTTAAAGATATTTCTTAGTGGTGTTGTAGAAGAAAAGGTGGCATTTCACATTGGGAAGGCAGTGGAACAATAGTTGGGATTGTGTGAAAAGTCTCCAGTTACAAGGCTGAACAATCGTAAAGACAGTAGAGTTGTCCAGTGTGACAGAGACAAGACTGGAAAGGACATTAAGACCTCCCAGATTTCTCTGGCTTTCAGTGATGGCATCACTTAGCCTTGTGCTTCCAACAAAGCAGAGTGCTTTGCCTTTGCCCTTTATTAGTTGCCATAAATCATTGTGTCAGCCTCCAAGAATGATGGGCCGGCGTTACAAACCATCCTGTATTGGGAAGCATCTCCTCTGGGTCAGTTCCAGTGCAAAGACCGATTAGTGTCGTGCGCGTGAACCACCCTGCACATTTTCTGTGGATAAAGAGAAAGTGTATTCCAGGTCTGTCAGTCAAAAAACTTCATGAGGGTGCTTGAGGAAAAAATAAAAAGAGAAAATATTTCTTTTAGAGTGTACTTTGTTTGGTTGCTTTTGAATGCAATGAGTAAATGGTAGGAGGCAGAGCGGAGATAGTGACTGGTGATACTGAACAGCTGACTTGCTTTTCAAAGCCTCCTTGGGATGTTGTTGTAAAGCTGCACAGTGGTTTGGGGCCTTCTGAGGTGCTGTCCTTCCTTCAGCTGAAACATCTGAGTTTCCAGGCAGTGACAAAGCCTGAAAGGAGAGACTGGGAGAGGAACTACTGGAAGTGAATTTCTGTTTGGAAATGCTCCGGCTGATAGAAAACTTCTGGGTCAGGAAACGTGTGTGCGCTTCAGCAGCGATCTGGATGGAAGGGTAAACCTGAAAATTGTCTGGACATTGTGACCGCTTCACTTGCAGTGTTTAAGAAAATTGTCAACTCGTGGAAAAACGAGTTGGGAAAAAAATTGGGAAAGGCAATGACCCCATATGCTAAGGAAGCATGAGCAATTCCTGGGTTTTATAACTCAGCGTCATGTAGCACAATTGTCTTAGCTGAAGGTGGACATTCAAAAGATAAATGGGTTGCTGCAGTTATATTTATTGGTTCTTTCTTTTAATTTGAAATAATGATGGTATATTTTCTTTCCTTTGCAGTTTATCATTGAAGTCAGTGATGGTGTTTCAGTTTCACCATCCACCTCTTCCAGAAACCTCAGAAAGTCTTTTGTTCACAACTTTATCCAGGTTTTTGGTCACTTGCAACAGGTTTTGAATAGAAATAGGATTAGATGATGTATATAGGAAATAGGGTATTATTGCCATACAACAGCGTTGGTTTGTAGGTTTGGGATGTGTTAATACAGCACTGTGTTGGACTGTGGCAGTGATGCTGGAGGCTTCAGTCAGCAGTGCACATGTGCTCCCCTACTACCAGTTAAGGATCCTTAAATTATGTGCGATGTCTACTGGGGCTGGTAGATGTGAAACAGGACAGCTTGAGACATGGGTCCTCCTCAGCTGGCAGCTGAAAGCTGAGCAACATCACCCAAAGTGGCACTGGACTATGGGTAACTGGGTCAGACCCTACGTGTCCTACAAGTCAGGAGCATCTTCACTGAAGCCGGTGTGGGTACTGGTGTGAAGGGAAGAACAGGATGCTCACTGGGACTTGCTCAAAGGCAATTACACTGTTTTGCAGTTGTGTCTTCCATGTGTTTTCTCATTTTAAGGTGGACATAATTGGGCAATATGATTGTAAATTATCTGTGCCATCCAAATAGAGAGTGAGATCACTTGTTGTCATGACAACAAAAGATGGTGAGGTGTTTACTTGAAAGTGAGTTCTGCACAAGCGTTCACATCAAGCTGTGTCTGAAGATCAGTGTTTGAAGAACTGTTCTTCAGAGAGTCCATTCCTCCTTTAAAATATTTGCTGTATTTGTGCAGTTTTACCCCAGGATATATGGAAGACGGCTTTTTGAAAGCTTAACCCAGGACAGAGCATACGCTTTTATTTTCAAAGGCACTCTTTAGTTCAGTAATGGAAATCCTACCTAGACTACAAATAGCGGCATATGGAAAAGCCAGCCAGTCAACTATCTGCTGTTTATATAAAAGGAGTTTGTAGCGAAGAGACTTCCTTTTAAAATGAATCATATGGTAACTCACTTTTATAATCCTTTAATATCTTTTTGGTTTAAAAGGTATTTGGGTTTAAGAGCATGCTTTGTGATATTAATTTTATCTCACTGAGCTTTCTTTCATGTATAAATCTGTGCTGGGGCAGAGGAGATGTTATTTATTAATTCCTTGGAAGTGCCTTTCATACAGTGTGTGCTGAAAAACAAGTGTGTATTTGATATTCACATGGGGCAAACTACTACTCTTCTCTATGAGTAAATATGCTGTGTATAAGAAGAACTGTGTAAGTGCTGCATACCATTAAATAGTTACCTGAGTGCTGCCTTCTTGCAGTTACCTTTTAGTATACTTTAAGTTGCTTACTGTCCAGAAAGCTCTTCATTACCTTTCAGTTAAGCATGTGAAGAAGGTTCGTTTGGTTGTGTTCATTTAATATAAACAGAGAATGTTAACACTATTGAAGAGATGCATAGCCTGCAGTAGCCAGTAATATTATTTGAAATTATTCAGTGATAGGTTTGGCTTTGATGGCTAGGTATTAAATATAATAATAATATGTAGCACACATATTTGTGTTTTTGCAAGTGGAGAATTGTAGTTAAGGAAGCTGGAGATGGAGAGGAGTAGGGAAGAAGTTGGTGAGAATGCTTAAATAGGACTTGCAGTTCTTACATGATAGGAAAATCTAGCTGAGTCATTTGTTACATATCCAGTGCTGCTATTTGAAATTTGAATTGGAAATAAAAAAGTTTCAGTAAGGTTTTAATGCTTCTGAAATCAGGGTGGGGATTTTTTCTTTTTTTTTGTTTTTTTTTTTGTTGGGTACAGCACCTTGCTCAACTCTGTTATGGCCCAGGAGTTCTGGAGTAATCCCTGTTTTAAAAAACCCTGATCTCAGAAAGAGCTTGGCACATTCTGAGGCAGGTCAAGACCTTGAAAAGTGAGATCTTTAGCCAGCCCTCTACATTTTATCTCTGTGCTTGTCTCTTAAATATTTCTGTAGCCCCTTAATCAAAACAAGAATTTTTTTGTTGTTACTTTGATGTATTTGATGTATTATTGCTACTTGAAATAAATAACTAAATAGTATTTCCCATGCTGCATAATTCAAAGATGGGTGTCAGAAGCTCCTTAGGTTAATGAGAGTGGCAGTGTCAGGGATGGTGAAGAAAGAAACTGGAATAAGACCAGAAAAGACAAGTGGCATGACTGGATTTGTCAGACATTTGTAAACATCAATGGCCAAACATAAATTAATCATCTGTTTTTCTTGCAAGCTTAAAAATTGTGAACTTGTGCCAGTTTTCTGTACCACTCTTTTCTGGTGTCATACCTGATGAGTTAACTATAACTCATTTCCTCTGTCAGTGAGACCAACTGGCTGTGTTGGTAATCCGCCACATGTCTAGCACTGGTGTTCCCAGATCCCCCCTCCTCCACCGACTTTGTGTATTAGCTCTGATTGGAAAGTCTCATTGGAAATTAATCGTGTGAGACAGAGGCCAGGTTCTGGCATCCCTGTCAAAGGAACGTTGATTTTAGGGGATGCACAGGGACCTCAGCATTACTGCCTTTTCTTTCGGGTAGCCTGCAATGCCGCTAATCTGAATTGTCTCAAAAATACTGGAGTTGTTCAGGGAGTCGTTGGTTGATAGCTGGCTACGTGTATATCGATTGACATAACCCTGAGACTGTCAGGTCTGGCTTGCCTCCTTACAGTGCCCATGTCTCTCCTCCATGTGCCCTCTGGTTTCCTGTGTCAGACAAGCTAAGGGCAGGATGTGTGGTCCATCCCATCTCCAGTTCTCCCTTGCCTTAGGCAAAGACTGGAAGGAATCAGCTAAGAAGGCACTGAAAAAGTAGCAAAGGCAGCATGGGGTGTTGGGAGGAGGATGCCAGGCTGAGAGGGTACCAGGGGGTGAGTAGGTGGGCTGGGAACGAGCAGACAGGCCCCTGTTCCTTTGGCTGATAGACATGGATGGTGCAAAGGGAATTTTACTCCTGTATGCATTCCTTTGAATCCCAGGAAGCTGAAGACTAGGAGATGAGGAGCCAGGAAATGTTGTAATTATGGGTAATCTTGTTTGTCTCAATTCTTTAGAAGTCAAATAATTCAGTGTATGAATGGACAAAGTCTTGCAACTCTGACATCCTTTCTTTAAGATTTTCTATACTGTTTCCTCTCTTGTTACTATCTCTTCAGGGATTCCCCTTTGTATTTTATTCTCTGTTCCATGAGCGTGAAATTTGGAGAATAACCGCCCTATTGGCCAGCTGGTACTAGGCCAGCCATCATCTTTCATAGTCCTCTGGAGCCTACCTTGGATCTTACTTGCTTGGAAGTAGTCCCATTGATTGTAAATGTGTTATATGGCAGGAATTCTGGAGTAGGGAGCATCTTTGTTCTTTCTGGTGATAGTAAGCCTGCAAAGCAGAGCAAGATGAAGAAACCTATTTAATATATTGATGTGTGACTTCTGATACGCTCTCTGTACAAGAGACAGAGATATGTACAAGCCAACTGAGAAAACAACATTTGTGATGTTGGAGAGTACGCCGAAGAGGCTTGTTCTATTGCTTTCTCAGCCAGGAGTAGTTGCAAAGATATGGCTGCAGTTTATAATACATTGGTTTCCATTATGTGTAAGGAAGAGTTCAACAGGTCAAGTATGGGAGTGATGATACCTGTACGCACATTGTAGTCAGCGTCACTCCATGCTGCTCACATTACCTTTTTCATTTTCTTTCAGCAGTACACACGTGTGAATTGACAGTCATCCAAATGTAGAAGTGAAGGGCTTGCTGAGAGCTGTAGAAGAGTGAATCGAGTATATCCAACAAGTCAGCTATAGGGGTACAAGATGTTTAATTGTTTGTCTTTGCCTTGCAGGAGGAATGCAAACAAATACTGGCTCGGCAGAAATCCAGTTCCCAGTCTGATTCTCATGATGATGAGATTTCCCCTCCTCCTCCCAACCCAGTGGTAAAAGCCCGACGCAGGAGAGGAGGGGTCAGCGCAGAGGTGTACACGGAGGAAGATGCTGTTTCTTACGTCAGGAAGGTAATGTGTTGCCTTCTGTGATTCTGAGGTGTACAGGACAATCAGGTGACTCACATTATGCTCATAATTTGGAATCATGGGTCAGCCTGTAGGACGGTGTCATCATGCCAGCATATGCGTGGCTTGACCATCTGCTTCATGCTCAAGTTCTTTTGCTGCCTCCTTGACTATGTACTTTACCTATCAGTGTTGCTTCAGTACTCTCTCTTACTCGCCTTTTTGAGATGTGCTGCTAGGGGTGGGTAATTCTCAGCCATTTTCTTGATATTCACAGGCCCTGGCAGCTTCTGAGTTTTGTCAAAACCTCACAGTTTTGGAAAGCAGCCTTTTTTATTGCTGCATTTCCTGGCGCCTTTTTTTTTTTTTTTTAAATGAAAAGTCACTTCTAGCTTAAGTTTTCTGCTAACCTAGGTCATTTAGGTTCCCCAGACTCTTCAGGCACATGGTTCCCATGTTGCTTGGGTACCACCTAACCCGTGGGCTTTCGGAGGTCTGTTGACCATACTTGGGTGATTTTATGTGACCTGTGTCTTTGAAGAACTGCCAATCCCAAATGAGGTAGTTTGGGCTTCTCTTTTTTTTAACTGCCTTTTTCCCCAAAACATCTAGCTGTGTTATATCCTTGATATCTCTTAGTAACTCTGCAAATCGTTTTTTGAAACTGGCCAAAGCTTTCAAAGGTTATTAAAAGACAGGCCTTACAATAGCATATGTCATGTTTGTTTAGGGAGCCAGGCTAAAAATGCATTTCATAAGGTTGACAGATGCTACTAATGTGCTTTTCTGCATGCCTGGAGTAGCTTTAACCCAAAGAGCTTTTTCTTTATGGGAATACATTTTGTCAGTCACTGTTTTTTGGCAGAATACTTTTTGCCTTCGCAGTCAGATGTGCTTTTGTCATCCACTTACACAAGTTCACTGTCTGCTCTGGGGATTTCTGTCCCAGGAAGCAAATAATTAGGAGAGCCTTTCACCCTAAAAACAAGTATGGAGGAGTTTTCTTGTGGCAGTTAAATAATGCTTACGAGCGTACAGGAAATTTTAGCAACACTGCAGTTAAGCTATTAATGCACTGCACTGTTAACAAACTTGCGTGATATTTTAAAAGCCTCTTTCAAACACTTTTCTTTCTGTGCAGCTTGCAATATCCCCCTTAAAAACTTCCATGGAAAGACTACATTTGTCTCTGCTTAATATGGACACCATCTCACTCTTCTGAAGGTCAAAAGAAATATTCCTTCCCACACCCCATAGTAATTCTTTTATGTTTATGATGGAACCTAAAGTTAACTTTGTTTTCTTCCTTTTTCAACAGTGATGCCAATAAACCCTGACAGTAGCAGGGGTAGGCAGGAGCCAGAAGCAATACAGATCATATTCTGTGTGTTCTGTGACTATGGCTGTTATGATTTTAATTTCCTAGGAACTGACTGAACTTAAATAATAATAATTTAGGGGATGGTTTCTTGTCAGGCTACAGATGCTGCAAGGAATATAAAACTAGCACTGGGAGGGTTTGTGTCAGTGCTTTGTCTTCTGCCATCAGCAAATGAATCCCATGGTGAATCCCAAGGATGTGTTTGTGACAGAGATTTCTAGAATACAGAAATAAAGGGAGGCACTGAAAGGATGAATTATGAAACTAATTTAAAAATGTAAAAAGCAAGGCAAGGATTGTGTTAGACTATTGCAAACAGATGGATTTTTAGATAGTAGCCAGGAAGAACCACTGGCTTGAATTCAGGTGTTGGATAGAAACACATCTGGGTCATAAACCAGTTCGAAAGATCCCTTGAAGGGGTGAACTATAGGATGAGTAGTGCTAAAGGCAGTGCAATGAGTTATGTCACTGGAGAGAAAATCAAAGGAGGTTTAGCTTTGTGGTTTGAGCAAGCACCTGGCGTGACTCCATACCGAGGAACACAAAGGAAGATCTCTGCGGAGGTTGATTTCATTGCTTCAGTCGTGAAACCAGAGAAAGCAATATTTGTCAACACATCTGACATAACGTATAGCTAACAACTAACAGAATAGGAATCTTGCTGTAAAGAGGATTATCAGCTTGGAGAGTACGTTCGATGATTACTAGGAAGAGTGGTGTAATAAATGGTCGAGTGATTCTTCCTGACATTTGATTTTGGTTGGATGCCTGGTTACTGTGACACCTAAAGAATGTTTCCTGTGTTTTCTGTGTCTGTGCCCCAACAGACCCACTTCAGTCTCTGCCTAGTGGCTCTCATTGCTTCAGACTTAGACTAAGAAAGGCTAGCCTCCACTATTCCATAATCAGCCAGAAAGGTTGGAGTTGAATGTCTTACTGATTTCAATATCTACCCTTTTGGCTCATCAGCGGTAAGCTGAACAGCTGCGTTATTCTTAGTAGAGCAAGGGTTCAGGACTGCAGTTCAATCCAGGGTTTGTTTGATGGGGTAAAAACCAAGAATAAACTGGCCAAATGCTCATTTTATTTAACATCAAGAAGTTTAAACTTTTAGTTAAACGAGATTATGTTTTACTTTGACACAAATATGCAGTTTATACGTATGCACTTCTCTAGACTTAGAGGAGTTCAGTGACTACAGCAGTCCATGTAAGTGATATCTGAAGCCAGAGTTTAACTTTAGATCTTCGCAGTGCAGTATTTTCCCTTGAAATAAAGCTGGATCAGTTCTTTGTGAGACCTGGTTCAGTTTTTGAGACAGTTTTGAGACATATTTCTTCCAGTTGGATGGATACAAGCAAAGCACAACAAGGAATTCATTCCCCAGTCCTCATGGGCAGGCAGGTGTTCAGCCATCCCCAGGAAAGCAGGGCTCTGTCACCTGTAACGGTGACTCGGGCAGACAAACACTATCACACTGAACATTCCCCCCCTTCCTTCCTCTTCCCCCAGCTTTATATGCTGAGCATGATGTCATATGGTGTGGAATATCCCTTTGGTCCGTTGGGGTCAGCTGTCCTGGCTGTGTCCCCTCCCAACTTCTTGTGCCCCCCAGCCTCCTCACGGGTGGGGTGGGGTGAGGAGCAGAAAAGGCCTTGACCCTGTGTAAGCACTGCTCAGCAACAACGAAAGCATCCTCGTGTTATCAACACTGTTTCCAGCACAAATCCAGAACACAGCCCCCTACCAGCTACTGTGAACAGAATTAACTCTATCCCAGCCAAACCAGCACACTCAGTCCAAGAGATTTGAAAGGAGACTGCACAGCTGCCAGCACCTGCTAATTACAGTATACTATGGATATCCTTCTCCCCAGTCATCCTGGAACTGCCATTTCTTTTCTGGTTGTCATATTGAGAACACAAATTCTTATCCTTACATTATCAAAACTGGAATTTATTACTTTCTTAGTGGCTTTATATTACAGCCTAAACCTGTCTCAGTGTTTGAAATCAAACTGCATCCATTATCTTGAATAGTGTAATTTTCTGTAGATTTCAAGATCTATGAAGAAATACAGCCAGGCATGTAATTACCCTTCCTTCTTTTCTCTACAGGTTATTCCAAAGGACTATAAAACTATGACTGCTTTGGCGAAGGCCATCTCCAAGAACGTGCTCTTTGCTCATCTTGATGACAATGAACGAAGGTATGAGGTGCTTTTGATGTAAAGCAATGTATAGCTTGACCTGAGGACAAGAATTACATTAAATTTTAACGGAGGGTTCAGAACTGCTCTCACTGATGCATCTGAGTTATACTAGGTGGACCCTCACACACACTTCTGGTATTATGACAGAGGGTAAAATCACAAGCTAAAGGGCCAAGAACAGGTTAGAATGTGTTCAGACATATTTAATATTTTCAGATCAGCTGTGCCTGATGAACTTTATTCTAGGCTACTTAAGGAATTGCCTAAAGCAATCTTGGAAGCATTTACAGTTTTTCTGAGACCTCAGGGAAGACAGGTCAGGTGCTGGAAGGGTGGGAAGGAAAAAGCACAATGACTATAAAGAAGTAAAAGAGAATTACAGGTAAATTACTTTGTTCTTTGAAAAACTGGAACAAACAAATTATGTGTAAACACCTGAAGGAGGCCAAGGAGTTCAGTAACAGGCAACGTCACTTTTAAAAACTTGAAAATGTCTTTTTAAAACTAACTAGCAAGTCTTGTAGCTAGGGTACGCCCTACAGAGGCCAAATGGCTTGACTTCTATTAAGGTTTTTGACATTCATGTGTATGATGGTTTCATAAACAATCAAGGGAAATGTCTTCAGTGAAAGCACTGTGGAGTCTATGCAAAACTGATTGGATACCCACACCAAATAGCAGTTATCAATGGTCTGTGGTTCTAATGGAAAGATACGTTGAAGTATGGGAAGCGTTGGTCTGGTTCTAATCGTTATTGTCATTAATGACCTCAGTGGAATAGAGCGTGGAATTTTCAGATGACGTGAAGGTGGGAAGGGCTGCTAAAACACTGGGAGACAAGGCTTGAATTCAGCATTATGCTGACAGGTTGAAGAAATGTTCTAGTAAAAGCAGGATGGGTTGTCACTGAGCCAAGTGCAGAGAAGTATACTTAGGCAGGAGGAATACCTTTGTAACTATAAGATGGTTTTGCAGTTTCGGTCATTCCTTGAAAAAAATACGTGGCGCTTATTGTGAATTGTGATCTGAACATAGTAACTGATACCAAGCTGTATTGGAAATAGTGACATTTTCCTGGGGTAACTAAACAGGAGAACATGGAAGACATGTCCCAGCGTTGGAAAGATTTCAGCTGGAACACAGTGTCCAGTTTTGGGCACTTCAAGAATAAACACTTGGAGGAAGCTCAGGGAAGAGCAGTGGGAATGATCAGAGATCTAGATAACATCAGTTCTGAAGAAAAAATGGGATTGGTTGGCCTGCAGAAGAAAAGCCAGGGCAGAGGGACACGATAATAGCTTATAACAGTGTATGAATAATGGTATATGAGGAATAAACTGCTGTGTGTGCCAAAGGGTAAAGAATAACAGATTTAAAGTGCAGTGTGCAAGAGTCAAGTCAGATACTAGGAAGAGGTCTCAGACTGCTTGGGTAGGTGGTGGAGTCTCCACCACTTGAGGCCATTAAGAACAGATTAGACTACGGTCTGCCAGGAATGACGTAAGTAGTGTCAGCCCTGCCTTGCAGCAGATCAGCTAAGTGATGCCATGAGTTCTTTGCCAACCCTACTTTTCTGTGCTTCTGTGGTCAGAAAGGAGAAAAACTTTGTCTACATTGATGTTTGGCAGAACATCAGCAGTACAGTCCTTCGGTGGGGTTGTTCATGTTTTCAGTCAAAGCATGTTCCAAGTGTGCAAATTTTGGTCCTTCTTGTAGGCATTATACACAGTATAATTACATTGCAATCCTAATTATTGCGATATTGCATTAGCATGCAGATTTCTGCAGTAATTAGAAGAGGATTAACTTTGCACATTTCTTCCATTTTTTTCACTCTCAGCAGACAATTCTTGTACAGAACTGCTGTAAATCTTGATTGTACCTTCAGCCTGCTAATGTGATAGGCACTGAAAGGGTAGGTTTTACGGCTGGAAAAGGGAAATTTTGGTAATATGTTATCCAAGTAGGTTGAGAGAGAAAAACCTGAAGGAAAAGTGCTTTTTCTTGCACTGTGCTTGTTGTACGTCATGGTCATTCTCTCCTGTCTGTTCCCCATTTCCCTTTGTTGGCCAGACTGTTCTGTTATGAATATGTGTTAGGAGTGAAGAGATGTGCACAGGGTCCCCCCCATGTGTGTGCTGAAGGTGGGTTGTAGACTATCTGCTTTTGCAGTCCTCAAACTCTGGCTTGACCAGGTGTATACTGCCTTTGCTGTCAAAAGCTTTAGGAGCTTGTTGGTTTCTAGGTTGTGCCCTGGAGCATATTCAGCTATATACCATCCCCCTGGCTCAAAGGATGTGTCTCAGTGCCTCATTGAAGCCTCATGACATGCACAGCAAGCTATTGCTGACTGGGAAAAAGAGGGGGCTGACAGAAGCATGCATGCATTCTGCTTTTGCAGACAGCAATGAGCGAATTGCAATGAGCGAATGAGTTGTTCTCTCTTTGTATTCTCCCAAGCTTACTCTTAACATCATGGTATTGCCCTTGTCTGGTTTTGTTTGTCAAGTGTGGAGAAGTCAGCAAGTTGGAGCTGCCATCACTTCCAGTTTGCATCTTGTGGGTGCAGATACACAGTTCAGTAAAGCAAGCGGTGTATGACTTCATTCGGGTTCTCTCCTTGGCAGCGGTGGAAAGCTAGGTGAAGACATTTAATTTTCTGTGCTGCAGTGGTGATGCTGGGGATTATTTTCCTCAGTGCTTTCTACACTGAGGAGAGTATCATTGTTTCATTTAATTCTGTGGATGACCATTCGCCAAGATGTAGGAGGTGTTCAGGTTGGGGAAGGATGGACTCTTAGGGCTTAATTCTTCAATTACAATGGATGACACTTCTATTTTTTCTTCTGCTCTGAAAAGATGTTTATGTTCATCTGCTCTATGGCTGTGCAGCCCGCATGACTTGTGTTGCACTTGCTGCTTGGCAGCTGTGAAGGTCCTTATATCTGACATAAACCCTTATTTATAAAGGCAGTGTGTAGCATATTGTGTGTCAAATATTCCATATGAATGATTAATTGCATGAGAGCTCATGCTGAAGTTAAGGTAAACAGGTATCTTTTTGTAGTGGCATCTGAAATGTTTTTGTTTAAGTCTTATTTTAGATAGCATCTTTTCATAGGCCATGCTTAAAAGAGGGTTGCCATCCATCTCATGCATGCGCACACACGCACACACTTGCACACAATCCCTGGTGTAAAATTATACTGAAGAGTGCAATAAAGGGGAAACTGGAACTGCATCTGTACTAAAAGCAGCAGAGCTAGTTATCTGCAACTTTTGCCAAACTTTTCATTTTGAGAGTTGCTAGTATACCGAACAGTGCAGCTTGGCAAAGTGATGTGGCAGTCCACTGTTTTCTTCCCAGACTTTTCCACTGACTTCAGTAAGATCTTGGTTAAACTCTGGAGTAGGGTCCTGGTTCTCTCAAAGCCAGTGGCAAAATGCCCATTATCTGGAGTTGAAATGTGCTTTTAGCTGTGAGAGAGCTGTTGTCATCATTTGCAAATTTTTAATGTGTGTTTCCGCACACGTGCACCTGATGTATATTTTCTGTGCATCCTCCTTCGCCTAGAGCTAGTCCGTTACGTGCACACTGACAGCAAAACTGCCAGTTTACATGGATGTATCACAGACTCATTATCCAAATATTATTTGAGTTGATGAGAAACTAACTAAAAAGTTAAAGCAACATCAGGGCTTGACAAAATTGATTTCTTATTGTGTTCTAATAGGTATAGTTTGATTTTGATTGTTTATTATTGTACATCTAACAAAAGTATTGGGCTATATTAAAACTTTCTGTGAAGTATTCACAGGCAGGGTAAATACTTATGAGCTGTGG